GACAACATTGGGACATTTGGTTAAGTTGATAATCAGTGTTGTGTTGCAAGTAGTTGTCATAACTCAAAAGCCATAACCAACTAAAGTTCTTGGAACATAGAAAAAAGACAATGTTGACAACTTGGGTCTAAATCCATAGTTTTGGTCAACATTCCAGCTGATTATGATACAATCTGGCTATTAAAATGCATTGCTACCATGTGGGGATGTGGTGACTCTCGAACAAAAGCAACGTTTAAACCAAACAAACAGAAATCCTGAATGCATAATGCTGCTGTGCTGATGCGCCCACTGTGATTAATGAAGGCAAGATCAGCGTGAGGCAAAAACAATTTACCTCTCTGACCGTCGGCTGAATATTAATCACAAAATACCCAGTGGCTCATAAGCGTGGCTTTCCCACTGAGCTAAAGTATAGGTTTCTACTTTGTGCCTGCAAAGCTTTTCCTCCATACTGTGACTGTTTCAAATTATCTCGCCATTTCCATTGAGTCATGTCTTCCTCTCGCTTTCTCCTCTCCTCATTTTCTCTCTGCTCATCCATCTCTTGTGTTTTCTCCCGACTGTCAGCATGTTGTTTCTCTTATTACTGTCTGCAGCATCGGGCCATCTTTCTCTTCTTCTTCCCCCTTCATCAGACTTTTTTCTACCTTGCATATTTCCCCTTCTTCTCTGACATTGTTTCTACTCTTCTCCTAGCACCTAGTCTTCCCACCTCTTTCTCTCACCCGTCCTCTACCCAATCATCATTTCTCACCCTGTCATCATATCGTCTTTTCCTCTCACTTTCCCGCTTCTCTCCTTTCCCTCCTCAATTCACCTCTCTATCCATCATTATCCCCTCTGTTATTACGGGGCCATTTCCCCTCCCGCTCGGGGCTACTCTTCCCCTTCATCCTCCTTTCTCACTTCCTCCTCAATCCTCCCATATGCCCATCATCCCCCCCCAGCCCTGTCATCTCCACATGAGCTCTCGCTTCTATCCTTGTTGACCTTCCCTGCCCAATCTCCACCTGTCTTTTCCCATCCCTCCTCTTCCTGCTCCTCCTCCTCATCATCATCCATCCATTTTTATTAATTTCCTCCATCAAGATTTCCTTTCACTCCGCTCTCCTCCTCCCCTTTCCCTCTCATCTGTCTGTCATCGTGTCATGTTTTGACATTTTTCCTATTCTCATCTCGTATCTGTCTTCGCCCATCGGACTGTTTTCATCTTCTTGTCACTCTGCCCTGTCGTTATCCCCACATCCCTCCCTCCTCCTATTTGGGATTTGAGCTTTTTTTATGTGACCCTTCTCACATTGATTTGCTGTTTTATGTGCATAGTGAAGAATACAGATGTTCAAAAACTATTTCAGCATTGCGATACAAGGATCAGATCGGACAAGTTCAACTAAGTTTTCTCTGTACCAAAGGAAAAGTGAAACTGCTCTAGTAATATTGGGTCCTGTCCGGATCACTTAATTACATTGCTGACATTAAATACCAGCCAGTAATTGTAAAATAAAAGTCACATGGGCTCCCAGCATGCAGCTTGTTAATTGGGCAGTGTTTTTCCAGACCTGTCACTCCACCTTGTTAGACATTTTGATGAAGTTGGACCAGGTCCAATGTCCTGATTCAAGTTCCTGTTTACGAGTTAAGCATGATGGACTTTCCACATTCTCTTTGTCCGGTGCTCATGGCAGTTAAAAGCACGTGAGGAGATGGAGTTTAATATGCAAAACACAAGGGTCCTATCTATCGATTAGTTTTCTCGATTAATCGTTTGGTCCAGAAATTATGAGAAGATAGTAAAAAATAGCATCATAGTTTCTAAAAGTCCAAGGTGATGTATGGTTTCAGTCTAAAACGGAAAGATACAAAGTTAACGTGATGTTAAACAGAGAAAAGCACAACATCTTCATATTGTAGATCCTAAAAAAAGCCCCTGGCCATCTGCAATTGATCATTTCATTTTTTTGCAATTGTTTTTCTGTCAATTGATTATAGCCTTACAGCTATAGTTACCAAAGGAAGAAAGATCAATACTTGGGTTACTGAGGCAACGAGATAAACAAGAAGAACTTGCATTCCCAGAGTGCTGTAGCTGAATTGACCCGTTACTTGTTTCATGGTTATTGTGCCGTTTATTCAGATTACATTCAAAATCCCACAAAAAGCACTCCATGGTCCAATGTGGTTATTTGATAAGACCAGAATTTAGCATGGCCCTGTCTTGTTGTTGAGTATTATATTTTTACTTACTGATAAAAGCATGTTCAGTGTGGAATCTCACCCCTCTCTCCCTGTCTCTCCTGCCATGTCTTCATCCATCCTTGTATTTGATTCCAGTCTGTCATCCTTTCAGGGTCCTTCTCAGAAGTGTCGTCTCATTTATTATTAAGTCTTTCGAATCGATCTCCTGCACCTCAACAGGGTCCCACTTCTCAACCTCTCCATTTCCCTTCTCTTCCCCATAGTGTCACTCTTCAACCAGTTTCCTTCATCTATAAGTCTCTTGATCTTTTCTAAACTCTTTTTTCTTTTTCTAACTCACATGTCCACTAACATGTAGCAAATCAAGAACATACAGCAAAATGTTGAAGACATCCAGAGTCATTCATTACCTCATTCTGAGAGCCCACATCTGCTTCAGTCAGCTGTAAAGATAATTACTATGTATTCGGAGAGGAGCGTATATGTGGGTATAATGTAGAATAAGGGGTAACCGCAGTGCGTGTCAGCAAACCAATTTATATTGTGATGAATACTTGATATTTCTGTTTGTTAGGCTGTTAAAATACTGGGGAAGGCAGAGGTACTGTAGTGTGACTAGCAGTTTCCATTTTATAACCCATAGTCCTACAACAGGATGGTGTTGGCTAATTAGAAATCATTTCAAAAATAGGTTTAAGCTTTATCAAAAAAGTACATTGGTAAGCTTTCCATTGCAGGTTTATGTTTGCTTTTGATCCTTACAACTGATAGAAAGACATTTTAAGGGATTTTATTGACCCGATCATATTCCGATGATCTTTTAGTGTCAGTTCAGATTCAGCTGCTTGAGGAAACACGGCGTATTTTTGAGAGGGATTCGCACTGCAGAGGAGGAAGCACCACTTGAACGATACAAAACTAAACATGATCTTTTTTAATAAGAGTGAGCTGAGTTTACTGCCGCAGTGAAAGATGATAAATCATTAATAACTTCTTTAAATCTTCCCTTGAGTGAACCAAAATGGTGTGCTCAGGCAACATTGGGGAATAATTCATCTTAAGTACAAGCTGTATTATTATCTCATATATCCCATTCCTCCTTTGGGTCTGGTTTATACACTCAAAGTGGAAACTCTTCTGCCTCTCGTCCCTTTGGTATCATTTGCTAAAAGCAGAACGGCCAGGTTGCTTAACAGGAGAATGCTGCGTGCGTTTCACTAACATAATGTGCCCACTTTTCGTTGTTTTGAAGTTCAAACCGTGTTTTAAAAGCTCTGTCTGCCTCTTACTGCTATTTAGAGCTGCCAACGTGTGAAGCCTGGTTGTGCTTCAGAGCCTATACGTTTATGCTTTTAGCTTTGTGAGGCCATGCCAAGTCCGATCCACTGAAGAACACTTGGCAGTCAAAATATAAAAGTTAACACAAGACAGACAGACAGACGTGTGGTGTTCTCATAGTTCTCATAGTTTACACGGTGCAACATTCTTATCATTTTAAAGCATTTCAGATGCATGCTTTGTTATCAAACTGTCTGTCTGGAGATGTAGTTTAGGTACAGTGTGTCTATGTTTGATTATTCACAAAAAGAGATTGTAGCTACTTTGGTTTGACCTGAGTGTGTCTAGTGATGATAAGACGAATAAATCAAACAAATAGTGTGTGTGAGGAAGATTGAGGGGGTTGTGAAAGTTAGTCTTTGACCATTTTCTAAGTTTATGTGGTTGTCTGTTATAAAAAAAGAAATTCTCGCAACAAATCTTTGCATTCGGTGCTGTCTTTATCTTTTAAAAAATATGTTTGGATTAATTGTTGTTCCATATACCCATGCATACGGTTGCCAACAGGTGGAAACGCATTACAACGGCCCAAAACATTTCCATTAGGAGTAACACGCTGCCTCATGAAAAGGCTGTAAATACAAAACGCTGTTAATATAAAATGCTGCTGCAAAAAAAAGATTGCAAGAAGCTCAAAACTAAACGGAAACGGGGACACTAAAAAGGGACGCACACAGCTGGGACCGCAGCGCTTGTTGACGTTTGGGAATGATAAAGTTGGCCAACTGTCACTGTTTACAGAGTTAGTCTGTTTCAACTCTGGCCGTACCAAATAACTGCACTGGACTGATGATAGTATGTCCTCACTGTAGTGCTTTTTGTAAATCAAATCAAATCAAATCAAGTTTTATTTATATAGCACATTTTTAAAACGATTTTTGGTCGAGCCAAAGTGCTGTACATATAATAATTACCTTACAGTAAGGACACTTTACAGCAAATATAACAGCACAGTTTGTGCAGAATATCAGTATGAGAAAACGACACCCTCTGTCCTTAGACCCTCACAAAAAGAAAGATTGTGAACAATTGGTCTGTGAATGGACGTGTTTTGGCCAAAGTAGCGTGTCTGAACCTGTTTGCCACCATACATGCATGTGTGTAAACCAAATTTCAATTTTTATGATGAACAAGACTTTACTCTATTCGCTCAAATTAAGCCAGAATTAGACGTCAATTAGCAAACTTTTACTTCGCATAAATACTAGAAGCAGTCTGGAACTCATTACTTGTGTTATAACAACAACTTCAATTTTACATTTGTTTGTGAACGGACTTCAAGTCTTTAAGCTTTGCAATTCGAATCAAATCCTGTCATAAGCTCCATAGTTAATGCATACAGATGGCAGTGCAGTCAGTCTTCTAATCTAACTTCCTGCAAGAAGTGCTTAATGTTCATTTCTTTCAGATTTCCTTGCACATTTTGATTCTAATCCTTCATTTGTCTTCCTCTCCCTAATCAGAGCTGATCCAGAATGGCCGCCTGCTGACGCTGCCCCTGGTGGCCGGAGACATGCAGTATCTGCTGCCTGACGAAGACAGGAAGCGCCTCTACGTGGCCATGAAAGATAACCTGCTGTCTACCAGTCTGGATGACATAACGCAGAACCCACGCAAGGTTAGAACTGGAGGACATACACACACTCATTTTCACATACCACCTGAGGCAAGGTGCATTACTACACACATGCCAAAGATTGTTGATGAATGCTTGGAGATAAACATAGATAATGAATGTGTGAGGGCTTTGATGGGACTAATTATGATTAATATGAGGAAGAGGAAACTCACACCCCTCTGAGCGCCTATCTGTCTCTAATTCCTTGCTCTTATTACAGAAATCAGTTTCTTCCTGAGTCCCCTGCTTCCTGGTTTTTACCTTCTTTGACTCTAATCAAGAAGAAATAACTTTCCACATAGACAGAAACAATGTTTAGTAGTATATTACACAATCTGTCCCTCGCTCCAACTTGGCCTCTCCATAAAAGCTGCAGTGTTGTGACTGTTCTATAAAACATCTTCAAAATGTGGATTTATTTATTGGCCTCTCCACCATGTGTTGTTTAGTTTATCCACTGATAGTTGGAGGGATTTCAAAAGCCCAAAAAGCCTGTGTTAGTTGTAGGACTTAAAGGTGCCCTGTGGATTTTTCTTGTAAACAAACAAAAGGGATGTTTATATTCAATATTACTCACCAAAACACATTGTGTACAAACATGAGGTCTCAAAGCATGTCAAATGCATTTATTTTATCGTAAAACATTTGCAAAACCGCAAAAGCATTTTAAATCCATCAATTTTTACATCCACCTTAATTAGCTTGCAGTCATCTTCTTCCCTGCCTTTCATAGCGCATTGTTGCATATTTTGGCACGTTACTGCAACCTGTTGATCGCTGGAATATTGTGACGCCATTGGCAAGATGCATCTGTGTGTGTGTGTGTGTGTGTGTGTGTGTGTGTGTGTGTGTGTGTGTGTGTGTGTGTGTGTGTGTGTGTGTGTGTGTGTGTGTGTGTGTGTGTGTGTGTGTGTGTGTGTGTGTGTGTGTGTGTGTGTGTGTGTGTGTGTCCGTCCTTGTGTGTGTACAAGGTAAACAAAATCGAGGCCAACTCATTGCAAAAACTTTCCATAGGGCAATGGAGGTCTACTAAAGCCTTTTGAAGCTTAAATATAACCAAAACTACTTAACTACTACTAGCAATGAAGCATAGCATTCTTTTGTTTTCTCATTATTTGTCACTTTCCAAAACGGACCAATACATAACAAGATAATGGGTTCCAGTAACAAATAATTTGTTTCACATTTTCCAAATTCCTACCTCTGCCGGGCACTATTATACCTTTAAAGCAGGGGTGGGGAACCTTTTTCCTCTCAAGGGCCATTTCAATTTTTTCAACATCGTCCGAGGGCCGTACAAATGATTGACCTCTGCTTAAAAAAACTAAAATCACAGCCCATTCATTTGGCCTTTCTTTCATGCTGTGCAAAGAAAAAGCAACCTCTTAATCCAGATATCTTACCATGACTCGCGCATGCATTCACATGCACGGTTGTGGCATGACCACCCAAACAGAAAGATATGGACACAAGATGTGTGCAAATGTATTTAGTTTCCTATCCATGTGAACATGATTTAAGTGGGGGGGGGACCAAACCTCCTCTAGGGGGGTCCGGGGGGCATGCTCCCCCGGGAAGATTTTCTTTTTTAAATGTTGAAGTTAAAAGCATCAATCTGGTGCACTTTGAGAGCAACATTAGGAGATCTATGGATACATCTCTCAACACCCATATGAAACAGAACTGTAAGCAGATTTTATTTTCTTTATGGATATTTTACAAATCACTCCCCTTTTAAACTGTATTCTTGTTTATTAATAACAACTTTTTTTTACTGTCATATAGTATTTTATACCCGTTTACTTTATTCTCTTATTTCTTTATAACTATAATAATCATATAAAGATGTGCCTTTACCTCACTGGTTGTAGAAAAAGCTTCTTATATTCGTTAGCATAGCTAGCTAACCAGATGCTAATAACAACAAAGTTATTGACTGTATGATCAGTATGTCAGATGAACAGATCGCCACTGGGCTTTCAACTAAAGACACAGCAAAAACTGCGGCATGTGTACGGCTCCTTATGGGTACTGCAATTTTTGGAAGTGCCAGAGCGGCGTTCTGGTGCTCTCCGTCAGAACTGCACCCCTGTCAGACGAGACATATACCACGTGATGACACGTTAGGCTCGTGTTGTGTTCAAGGACCCTGACCTTGGCCAGGAAAAACAGGTACTCGCTTGTTTAATTTGTTTGCGGTCTAGATTTCTTAATTTTTTTTCTTTTTTGCGTGTGTTTATAAATTACCTCGAGGGCCGTACCAAATGGTCTCCCGGGTCGTATACGGCCTGGGGGCCGAATGTTCCCTTCCCCTGCTTTAAAGAAAAACAGCAGAAATTTAGAAGCCTTTTTATTGATTTATTATAATAGTAAGGGCTTCTGCTCACTTGCCATTTCTGATTTAGTGGATTTATCCATTTCTTTTTTAGTTTATATAAACAGTTTAAAGACCAGGATTTTACCATGTTGACAATCATATACAGCTTCATGATATAAACCTTAAAACCCTGAGGTGGACCCCCTGCTCTGACCTCTCGGAGTTCAGCTGGTCAAGTTCTCACCCTGACACAAGTCTCTTTTCCTTATGTGTGTTGTTACCATAAGAATAATACAGCAGAACCACCATTTTAATTTAAATCGACATAGCATAATGATAACAACGGCGGCCATTTTTATGTGTTGCATAGCCATTGCGACTTGTAGAGCGCAGAGATGGGGTGTTTCTCAATCGCGAGTAAAGCTGCTTCCGAGCCACTATTTCAAGCATATTACGTCATCGAGTGCCGCCGAAGTACGGTTCCAATCTCCAGTATACTTGGAAATCTACCGAGCCCGGCGTACTCCGTTTGGAGAAATATCGAGTGTGCACATGAGTAGACTTCGCGGCCTTAAAATCCCCACAATGCTTTGCGCACGGACCAATTTCCCCAAATCTGTGGCGGAAGATGTAAGGCGGGGCCTCTCATATGACGCACACCTGCACACTTGCTAGCCTGTTCCACTCTTTGTTTTCCGAATGGCAGGAAGTATTCTTGACTCGCTTCTGAAGCAAGATGCTCGGCAGACATGTGCTACCAAGCAAGCATACTCGCGATTGAGAAACACCCTCGGAGTACTCGAGTCCTGGACTCGAGTCTGGCCGATTTTCGGGACTCGTGACTCGACTCGGACTCGCGCACTGATTGACGCGACTCGGACTTGGACTCGTGAATTCTCGCGCACGATGACTTGGACTCGGACTCGGACTTGTGAATTATCGCGTACGCTGACTTGGACTCGGACTCGGACTCGTGAATTTTTCCCCCCATGATGACTCGGACTCGACTTGTACATTGACGCTCCGACTTGGACTCGGACTCGAGCAAGTTTTCTATGGAGTCTGATGTCCTCTATCCTGACGTGTGCACCAGCTGCGAGGCGAGTTCACGTACTGGGCCCCGCTATTCCAGTCTAAAGATGTCTAGAGACACACCCCGCATCGTGCTGTATGCTTTCACACATTCTGCTTCCACATTGGAAAAGAGCAGCTCAAAATGCTCTATGTGGAAACAATATTGAAGAGAAGGCTCCGTAACACATTACTCTAAGGATCGAGTTCAGACATATAGGCTGTCTTGAACACTATCATCAGAGTAACGTGATCTAATCAATACATAAAGATTCAGCCGATAACACGAAAGCATATGGCTACTTAGCATGCAGAATGACGTCATTTTGCATGCTAAGTAGCCATGTGCTTTCTGGGGCTAAATCTTTATCAGTAAACCGATTTAACCGGTAAAAGTTCCTTCAAAATAAGAGTCCCGATCTTATTACTATCAAAATAAAAGTGCAAAACGAAAACTTTACCATAGGAAAATATTGGCATACAAATATAATCACTTCTCTAAAAGGTAACTCATTTTAAACATAGTTTATTTATATATAATAATAATAATATTAATATTAGTAATAAGCTTTATATTTGTATAGCACCTATTACAAGAATTGTAGCCAAACTCGCTTTACAGCAGTTCAATAGACAGATTAGTATAACATGACAGGATAAAAGCAATGTAGAGGAGCAGCTACATTTCAACACATATATCCACGAAGATTAATACATGAAGACTTGTGACTCGGACTTGACTTGGACTCTTCTTAGGTGACTCAGACTTGGACTCGGACTCGAACACAGGTAATGATGACTCGGACTCGACTCGGACATTCCTTGGGTGACTCGGACTTGGACTCGGACTCGACTACGACTCTCCCTTGGTGACTCGGACTTGGACTCGGACTCGAAGAGTGGTGACTCGAGAGTGACTTGGACTCGTGAATTGGTGACTTGACTACAACACTGAGCGGTCAAGGACTCACAGAGGTGAGGTTTTGCAGTAAACATACAAAGCCAGAGGAAATAAGTGATATGAATTAACTTTATGCGTCAGTCACACACTCACAGCATTGGAAAACACATTGCTCTAATTTTCTGTGAAGCGTTAAAACATGGTCCAATTAGCAAGTTAAAGGTGGGGTATGTCATTTTAGAGAAACCAGCTCGAGTGCGCTAGAATTTGAAAATACACAACAGGAAAAAATCTGCCACTTCCTTACAGAGCCCCTCCTCCAACACACACGAACGCACACATGACCAATGAGGGCACGAGATAAGTTTGCACACAGATGGAAGGCTGACAGGCAGGTAGGCCATCCAGTTATTTTAGCCGGGCCGGCTAAAATGATTGGTCGTGCTTTTTACAGTACTACGGCTTCCACAGATGACATTTTTTAATGTATTTATTGTCAAAGCATTTCATATATTCATTGCTATCGGGATGTTAAGAGCATTCCATGGAATATAACAAAAAGTGTTTCTGAAATAAATGACATACCCCACCTTTAACTAACAAGCCAGCTAAGCTGCTAGGTAGCTTGCTTACTGTTAGCCAGCAGAAACTCTGGGTAGATGTTAACGGCCCCTCTGCCCAGTCTTCCACTACTCCGGAGAAAGGAAAGCTAATTAGCTAACTATGCGACTCCAGAGCTGGGTCCACTCTTTTTCATGGCGAGATGTGACCTTACTTTGTCCCCACTGACTTGTGACGTCATCATAACAACTTACAACAATCCACATTTTCTTTAGCACCAATCAAAGTACCACGGCAAACCGTTTAATGTGTGTCCAACTCTGTAAAATTCTCCTTATATGGTCGCTACATACTTAGTTCCTCCAGTGCTGCTTGACAATGGTTTAAATGACACAACATGTCCAACCAGGGTCTAAGGCCCAAACCATGATTCCTAGTGAAAGCAGAGCATCTTATAGCTGCATAGGGAAATAAAATATGGATGCAAACTGTTACATATAAGTTACAGGTTTGTTACAGTATCCAGTTTCATGCTGCAGCTATGATTTTGAATGTAGATGGATAAGGTGACGTTTTTTTCAACCAGTCTGCTTAGGTTCAGGGTTACAGAAAGGACAGTGTCTGTGCTGCTTTTTTAAAACCCTGCAGACTCAAATCAATAGCCTCATCTGTCCGTTGTACACGTAAGCTATCAGATAACTGACAGGTAGGGAAGCAGACAAACTACCAGTGAAGCAGACAGACAGACAGCAGTCAAGCTGGCCAGCCACCCACTCAGCTTGGCAACCGGCCAACAAAAGATAGATAGTCATATCAAACTCGTAACTCAACTGTGTGCTGGCTGTAAAGTCATACATCTGTACATACAGTATTTATAGTCTGTTTATACTGTTCCAGCTCGGTGCAGTTCTTCCCTTGTGGTGTGCAAACCACTCACAGTGCCATATTCTCCACATTCCTGTTTGTTTTCTCTGCTACTGACACCCAGAGCTCCTTATCAGTGCAGCTTGAGGCCACTTCATTCCTACTTATGTATTGCTTTCTTTTCATGATTTAAACCTCACACATACTTTTTATATATGTGCAGTCTTACTGACTCAATAGAACTGATTTTGGCACCGAGTGATGGACACGTAACCAGATCCTCCGATTCATCCCATTGCAGGGCAGAGTGCCAAACGTGACGCGGTTGCCTTCAGTTGCATTTTTACTTTGATCAGACCAAAAACCCTCAAGACATTCCTTCTGTGTGAGTGTGCAGCTGGCAGTCCACATTACACAAAGGGTCACTGAGGGTTTGAGTGTGTGTTTGTGGCTTTTGTTGCATATTTATTGTTTATTCATTCTCCGTACTTCTTTTGTTTCCACTTTCTTTTCTTTCTTTCTTTCTTTAAATGAGTCATTTCTAAAAATCTATTATACCTTCAGATTTTTCCTCCCGGTGAGTTCTATATTTCGCATAAACTGACAACCAGCATGCTTTTCCCAGAGAGGTACATTTCCATTACACAGGGTTCTTACCTGGTGAGAATCCTTTAGTGGTGGTCCGTGTTCCTGTCAGTGTGTGGTATTTGAAGATAAGGGGGAAACGTGGGCTCTAATCTAATCTGATCGTCTCTGCTCCGCCAAAGGCTCTGCGGGAATGACTACACCAGAGAGCCATTACTGGACGGTCAGAATAAATTGTTTCCTGAAAGCACCATCATTTGTCATTGGTCCCTTTCAAACAGTTGATGTTACATTTTCTGGATCCAATATCCAGATCAATCACATCTTATTTATGTGAGTATTAATGATGATATTCGAGAAGTTCATTTGTTCATTACCACTTTTAATTTTAGAGTTAAGTTCCTGCATTTCCTTCAGTGAACTTTGCAGTTGTTATGGTATGTAGAGATAAGTGAGAACGATGAGTTGTCATATCAATTCAATCTTTGCTTGAATGACTGACTAAGGGAAATATTTAGATTAGTCATGTAGATTAGTCATTTCCCATGAAGCCATATTTTCTCTTTCTCTCTTTCTTTATCAAAGCCCTGTCTATTATTTTTTGCCCTAATCGCTTGACATGAAAGCAGGGAATTTTATAAATATATATACTTATCATTAACATAGACACAAACATGGCAGTTTTATGAAATAGAGACAACAACTGAAGGAAACATGTCATTAGTTCCATTAGTCCATACGTCCACTGGTGAACTAATCTTTACTTTGATTAGAAATAATACTTTTCATTAGTGATTCTCTTAACTGAACCCAGGATGAATCTATTAAAAAAGCAAACACACACACACACGACCAAACCTAAACAGGCCTGAAGCAAATGTAACCTGATTCCTGAACAACCTGTTTATTCAGACATAGGGATTCAGACAGTTTGGAAAAAAGTGAATAAACACTGTCTCATGCCTTCCCGAAATACCTTAATTGGTTAACGTCTGAATATGTGGCTTCGGGGCACATCTGACAGGTTCCATTGCGTACCTAATTTCTGCATTACAGATTCTTCTTTCTTTTAACCTCTGGAAAAGTTTCATTTTTTTGGCAGATATGCACAGGGCAAAGAGCCTACATACATTATGAAAATATACAGATTTTATAAGTATAGTGAACTGGTCTGCTGTGGAACGGCTCATGATTGGAAAAAGACATGACTCATGAATGTTGCTTCTGTGTGGGCACATTGCTGAACATAAACAAATCAGCCCACATTTTTATTACCTAGCCAGAGTGCTGTTCTTTTTAACATAATATTCATAATTACATTCTCAGAAATTAGGTCAGAAAAACCCTTAATTTACATCAGACATTCTGGAAACTTGTTGCAAAGAAAAAATAAAGTTGACATGACATAGAAAGAGGAGTTGAGATTCAGTTTGGGTCCTTAGATTTGGAAAAGGTGCTCTCAAACTCTGTCTATAACCAGGATTGATTAGCATTTTAACAATGGAGTCTGCTATAATGCCACTCTAAGCCATAGTTTACTGCTGTTACAAAACTATTTGCTAACTAGGACTGGTGTATTCACATGAATGATAATGATTTACATTTAGACAGAGGCTTGCTTATTCATTAAACAAGAAAATGAACTGATAGCTTTTTCCAATCTAATGACAACAGTTGCATTATTGTGCTCATGTTGCTGTAGCTAACACTGCAGTCACAGTCTAACAATAGCTGTATTTGTCATGTTGCCACCATCACTGCCGCTCTGACAGCTTGCCTCATCATTAGGACTCGGAATTGCTGCCAGTTACTTTTTATATTCTCCTCCCTGAAGCTGCCTCCCAAGAGCTATTCAAATCTGCCTCGTCTCTTCATGTTGTTTAAAATCTAGATTAGTCATGTTTCGCTGCCTCGTTCCCACCTCGAGCACAATGCTGACATCTTTTTATCAGGAAAATGTTGAGTGAGTAACAAACACTGTTTTTAAATATCTTTCTCCCCCTCTTTTTCTTTCTTTATCTCTCTCGCTCTCTGTAGCTGTACTGGCCAGCCAGTCCAGACCGAGTCCAAGAATGTCTGATGGCTGGGAAGGATCCAGAGGTGATTCAACACAAACACACACACAAACACACAAAAACAGTAGATTGCATAAGCAAAGCAACATGTACCACAGTGTGTAGCCGTAAACGCAGGTGAACATTTATATATCTGTTCAGATCAGAGTTCAAATCAGGTTTAACATCTTTTTTTCTTATATTCAACTCTCACATAAAACAAACAGCGAAGAGATCAGCATCAATAAAGCAAGACAGTGGCATGGTAGATTACAATCTGGAGCGGAACTAAAGCTGAATGCATCTGATTCATTTGGTAACAATAAACAGACAAGACAGCTCTGATCCTGGCAAAATGATCAAGATTCAGGTTAGCATAATTTATTCAGACGACAAAACAACATGTCCGGGACTAAATGGAAAGACTTTGACAGAGAAGAAAAAGGTGATGCTTATCAATAAATCAAATCTTACTTTTTGTTTGGTGTAGCCACCTTTTTTCATATATAGCAAACTTGTCACATGCCCAACAGATCCTGCCCTCCATTATGTTATTTCAATATAATTCAACCAGGCTCGTTTTGTTACTACTTTCCCAATATTGTTACGCAACCAATTCATATAAAGTAATCACTTACTCATATATGTAATAAAGCATTTACAAATATAATTTCTTCATACTCACATTGTTCCCTCTCAATGTGTGTGTGTTTCTCTCTCTGTCCAGTTGGAGTGTGCTAACTTCCTGAGAGTTCTGCAGCCTTTTAATCAGACCCACCTCTACGTGTGTGGCACTGGAGCCTTCAACCCCCGATGTGCTTTCATAGCTACAAGCATCTTCCAACAGGTAATACTGCAAGCCCACATATGCACACAAACAATGACTTTCTGAAGACACTTCACCAGTTAGAAAGTGGTCCATCTGCCAAATAAAACATGTCACATTTAGAAGAAAATAGCTTTTCTTTCAGTTTCCCAGATACATATTTATAGTACTCAGAATGTTGGTAAATATATTATTGTATATAAGTATCAGATCAGTATCAGAAGCCAAAAAAACTTGATGTGGAGATCCCTAGTTTGAGTCTCCCCTTCTGCGCCTTAACATACACTCACTGGCCACTTTATTAGGTACACCTGTTCAATTGGTGGTTAACGCAAATATTTAATCAGCCAATCACATGGCAGCAACTCAATGCATTTAGGCATGTAGTCATGGTCAAGAGGACCTGGTGAAGTTCAAACTCAAAATCAGAATGGGGAAGAAAGGTGATTGAATGTGGCATGGTTGTTGGTGCCAGACGGGCTGGACTGAGTATTTCAGAAACTGCTGTTCTACTGGGAATTTCACACACAACCATCTCTAGGGTATACAGAGAATTGTCCGTAAAAGGGAAAATATCCAGTGAGCGGCAGTTCTCAGGGCAAAAATGCCTTGTTGATGTCAGAGGAGAATGTCCAGACTGGTTCAAGATGATAGAAAGGCAACAGTAACTCAAATAACCACAAGTTAAAGCGAAGGTATGCAGAAGACCATCTCAGAACATACAACACTTGGAACCTTGAAGCAGATGGGAAGACCACACCGTGTGCTAGGAACAGGAAACTGAGGCTACAATTTGCATGGTGTAACTCATACTTACTTGCTGACAGTATGGAGTAAATATGAGCTGTTAATCACCCCAGATGGGACTTGAACCCACGATCCCTGGCTTAGGAGGCCAGTGCCTTATCCATTAGGCCACTGGGGCTTTGAATTAAGTATATTTACCCTTTGATGAAAAATGTGTTCTACTACGAAGCAACACAAGGGCTCCAACATAGGTTTTAGGGCTGTACCCGAATATACGAATATCCGAATATCCGTTCGTTGGAGTACTATTCGGGTTTCAATTTCGTTATTCGGATATTCGTTTTGTTTGTTTTTTCGTTTTTTTCCCGTCTTTTTTTCAAATTGAATTGATTGAAATCTCCAATATCAACGTAAGAGCTTGTGCCTCTTCGGGGGGTGCTAACACGTAGCTATAAACGTTATCGTTTACTTTCTCCGTCTTTATATGTAGATATTACTTTTCTCCGTTAATCTCCGTCACGTTGTTTCCAAAGCAACAACAACTTCCTGTCAACTGCGCTAACTCTCCTTCAAAATAAAAGCATGTCCATAAATAGGACATGCCAAATTACACTTAAGACATATACAACTGCAACGAAAGTAACACACACAATGCGATATCCTTTTCAATTTCAAAGAACACAAATTGGGTTACATTAACAAATAACTATAAAACAACAATACTGTAGAATAACTAAATGAATGCCGTGAATACACCGAAATACACGTGTTGAAGCGGTTCGCTGCTGATTACTATTATTTCGCACGAAGATGGCCCCGAACTTGGTCAACAGCCAAGCAACAGCCGAAGCAAGTACGATGCCTACAGAAGGCCACACGATGGCACCCGAACCACACACGAAAATATGGTCGTAGACTTTACTGATGATTTAGAATGTATCCAGACTCAACGTAAGAGCTTGTGCCTCTTCGGGGGGTGCTAACATTTAAACATACACTTTATTCTTTACTTTCTCCGTCTTTATATGTCGATTAAAAAATATTACTTATCTCCGTCATGTTGTTTCCATAGCAACAACAACTTCCTGTCAACGTAAACTCGCCTTCAAAATAAAAGCATCTAAATAAAACAGGAAGTTAACCTAAATTACATTTAAGACATACAACTGCAACGAAAGTAACAAAAACAATGTAATATCCTTTTCAGTTTCACAGAACACAAATTGGGTTATTTACATAATATGTTTACATGATTTTGTTGTGAAATAAATGCAATCTCGATGTCATCGTACTATAATACGATGGCTACACGACGGCATTGCGAGGGCTTCACGTAGTTGTGTTGCCTTCCTAAGACAATCGGGCAGTTTCTTGTTTACTTCGTATTGTCTTCGTGAAGCAAAAAATGCCCGATGGCACCGATGATCAGACGAAGATGACACGATTTGACAAGATGCCCTCACGAGTGCCTTACGAAGGGCAAAATGGACACACAAATTCAACACGAAAATGAATCTTCGCAAGGTCTTTCGGCAATTTTTTGGCATGCCAAAGATTTTGCCACCGCTCACGAAGTTGCTGCCGGAGCCTGAGAAACTCCACCGGGGGTCATACGATGGCTTAAGATGCCCTCACGAATGGCCCGATGTTGTTTACGATCAGAGCCAAATTTGAACATTTCCTTTATCGTGTGTCCATCTGGTGTCAATTTTGGGACAGTGTGACAGGGGCTTTACGGAGTGAAATGACCCGGAAGTACCTCAGTAGCAGCCATGATAAGAGCCGTTCGAATTCTCTAGATCAGTGGTTCTCAAACGGTGTGCCGCGGCACACTGGTGTGCCGTGAGGCAAGTCCGGGTGTGCCGTGGGATTTTGTGACAACCATACGTTATTATTGCAATATACAACTACACAAAAATAATTATTTTTGTATTTACTATATCAGTACTTTGTATGCACTCATTTCATAATACAGAGGCAAACTCTATACCTAAAAACAATTCTTTAAAAAAAAATCCTCACAGAACCCCATATTTCGCTGTTAACGCAGTCGCACAGGTGGGAATTATAAGACCGTGACACATCGAAGGCTGAAGGACAACATTAAAACAGAGAAACACGCAAGAGGGAAAATGGAGCGCTTTCTTGTGCGGAGCAAACCACCAACCACCAGTGCAGAGACTGCCGACAACCCACCACCGAAAGAAAAGAGGAAAAAAACTGTCAGCAGACAGTATCATGAAAGTTACCTGTCTTATGGCACTGCAGGCGAGCGGCAGATTTTCCCTACAAATAGACTAATCTACTGACATAAGTGGGGCTGCCCAACTTCTGGCAAACGTCAGATATGTTGATGCTGACTCTATCAAAGAGACGTTTTTCTTCTGCAAAGAAATGGAAAGCCATACTACGGGAGAAGATGGTGAATTACATCAAATCAAGGCCCCTGAAATCTCGCCTCTTCTCCCAGATGTGCGCCGAGATGGGAGCCGACCACCAAAGCCTGATCCTCCACACAGAGGTACGTTGGCTGTCACGGGGGAAAGTCCTATCCCGTCTTTATGAGCTTCGGGAAGAGCTTTTGGAGTTTTCACGTGAACACGCTGTCCCACATAAAGACAAGCTCGCGGATGAGAGGTGGTGCGCCAGGCTGGCTTACCTCGCAGACATATTTGGGCATCTCAACGAGTTAAACGCCAAGCTTCAGGGCAGGAATGAAAACATTTTATCATCCACAGACAAGATTCGGGTTTATGGGCAAACTTATCCTGTGGCGCGAGGCTTTGGAACAGGGCTCCATGGACATGTTCCCGCTGGCATCAGCTGTGCCGCAGGCAGCTAGGGAGCGCGCTGTATATGCCAAACACCTTCAGACCTTAAAAGAGAGGTTTGACCGCTATTTTCCACGTGTGGCTGACATCGAGGATTATGACTGGATCCGAGACCCATTCCACCAGGAATTCCCAACAGAAAAGCTCACTATGAAAGAGAGAGAGGAGTGCGCAGAGCTCCGTGTGGACCGCACACTGAAACTCAAATTTAGTGAGCTCCCACTGGATCAGTTTTGGTTGGCTTCTGCATCGGAGTACCCAAGCATCTCCCACCACGCGATTGAGCAACTTCTTCTTTTTCCCACTACCTACCTGTGTGAGTTGGCGTTCTCTACTCTGGTTTACATGAAGAACAACAGGAGGTCACGGCTCTCTGTTGAACAGGACTTGCGAGTGGCCCTCTCCTCAGTGCCACCAAGGATTACAAAAATCTGCGCGCCCCGACAGGCACATGTATCTCACTAATTTGTAAGTCGGCAAAATATTTACAATAGCACATGTTTCAATGCTGATTGCTGAAATGTTACATTTATAATTTGTAGTTCAGGCCCATGGACAGTGCAGCTTCCTTGCATTGACAGTTCTCTGTGCTGAATTTCTGCTGAGTCTTTGCCTCATTTTTTATTTTGTGACCTGTCTGGTTTAAATGAGTGTGTTGCTGCTTTGATGAAGCCTAATTTGATAAAGTTTCAAATTAATTTCTGAAATATTTCGTTAATAAATATTTCATGAGTAATATAGTTGTCTTTGTCACATTTTATTTGGCATTAGTAAATAATTATGCACATTTACAGATATTTTACATGATATGAGTGATAACACGTGTTATAAGGGCTATTTTGCACAATAGGTGTGCCTTGAGATTTTTACTTGTCCTTTGGTGTGCCTTGGGCACAAAAAGTTTGGGAACCACTGCTCTAGATGATAGGAAAGGAGGTTTGAAACTTCCTTTATAACCTCCTTTAGCTTAGGAAACACTGGACCTTGCTTTACGAAGGGAAAGGAGAAAATGCTGCCCCATAATGCCTTGCGGCCGCAACATTTGCCGTGACACACAACATTCGGCCGTTCACGGAAACAACCGATTATGACCGAGAAATTATATCATGAAAGTTACGGTGCTTATTAAGCATTTTAAAACGTATGTGGTAAGTTGCCAAAGTGCTTTGTTTTGAACGTTCATCAGTATTATAATCAAAAGGATAAATATGAACGTTAGTTTTTACTGAAATTATCAAATAAAGTCAACATTTCACAGTCTTTACTGAGCTGTGCGGGGTTTGTTAAACTTTTAAAAGATGTTTGAATGGTGATATACACAGTGATAGATGTTAAGGGCTAACGTTTATAATAAATACATTTGTATTTATTTTAAGATCTTTTCATACAATAATACGTTTTGGGATCATTTGTATTAATGTGGACCGGAGGGAGAGGGTGACGAGCATAAGTTTCACTTTCCTTTTTTATTTCAATTACAACCTCGTTCATGAAGAATATGTGTCTCTGTTGTCCACGTTCATAAAGCATAAATCACCCCAGATGGGACTCGAACCCACAATCCCTGGCTTAGGAGGCCAGTGCCTTATCCATTAGGCCACTGGGGCTTTGCACACCACATCTTTAGCCTCTCACCAAAAATGAGTTAGACTACAAAGTGACAATAAGGGTTATAGGCTTTAGTCCACAATGGCCCCTCAGGGTCTGAGCCACTGTTACCCCTTTTCCACTGAAATGAGTTCCGTGCTTGTTCAGCACTGGCGATGGTTCAGTTCATAATTGGTCCGCGATGTTGAGCCAACTGCGCATCAGTCTGCTTTTCCACCAACCAAAACCTTTAGGAGCCACGTCATGACGTCACAGTTTACGTCGCTTAATTTTCCGTTCGAACCGCTTCTTTGGGAAAGGGGTATATCAGCGATGGCACAACAATAAAAAGACAGCGTAGTGATGTTTTCAGAGTTGCCATGGGCTGAAGGGTAACGTTTTCAATAGAAAGCCTGCGTTACAAATTGGTTGAATGGTGTTTGAAAGACATGGGTGTTTTTTTGCTAAATATATTATTGTATACAAGTATCAGATCAGTATTAGCAGCTTCAAAACCTTGATCTTGATATCACTATTTTGAGTCTCTCCTTCTGCGCCTTAAAATATAAAATGTGTGCAGGCTTTCCCAGTTGATGAAATGTGTTAGCTCACAAAATGTAACTGGCCTTTTCACCTTTATCACATTCAAACGATGACACTCCTTAGTTAGCTATCCTATAAGCTAGTTTCAAGCTTTTTCTACTATGATCTATAATATATAAACAGGTTTTAAATAAATAACATGAAAAAAGCCAAATAAAGGAAGCAATGCTGTTCCTGCCACCCACCGTCCTGTGTGTGTGTGTGTTCTGACTCCCAGCCCCTATACAGTTACCTATCAGCAGCTGAAATATCATGTGTGTGGTGTCTGCCCCCATGCCCATATATCTACATGTACTAAGGTTATCTTGTGCCATCTGTCTAAAATATATACAGTGTACCTTTTCAGGCTGCACTCTTGGCACCACCTGACACTTTAGACATTTTGAGGGGGACATTTTTACGTCAAATTTAAAGGGGACCTATCATGCAAAATGCACTTTTTTATGTCTTTTATACATAAATATGTGTCCCCGGTGTGTCAGGGAACTCACGCAGCGTCAGAAAATAAAACCCTCTCTTTTCCATACCCAAATCTCTAAAAACGGGGCTACAACGGAGCTGATCCAGATTTGCGTCCGATATGACGTAATATCGGAAATGTAGGCTGGCTTTACACCCACGGGCCTATCAGAAACGTTGCTATCAGAAACAATGCCCGACTGTTTTGGACGTAATATGTGACCCGCTCTATCAAAATCAGTCGGAAGTCGCAACGGCTTATTTCAAAATAAACATGGATTTGCTTTGATTTTAAATAAACAAAGTCTTGGCTTTCAGAATATAAGACTTTTATTTCCAAAATCACACGATAAATACATTTTTGAAGCTTGTAAAGGGAAGATGACAGCTCTCACTCGCACCCTGCTCTTCCGCAGTGCAGCTCCCCCTCCCTCCCTCCGGCTGAAATTATGAATGTAAGGCTTATAGTATCTGCATCTCTTCAAAAGAGCCTTTGCCTAGACCTTCTTACACCCTTTTATTTTATTTTATTTCTATTGTTTTTTTTTTATTATTGATTTTTATTAATTCTACCGTGTTGTGTAATGTTTATTTATACTGTTCATGCTCACTGCTTGAAGCACTTCGGGATTTGAAATCAAATATGAAGTGCTTTATAAATGGAACCCATTATTATTATTATTATTAGTAATCATAGATAACACGGCAGGGTCCGTTACAGTTTGTTTTCATCTGATTTCAATTAAACAAAGTCTTGGCTTTCAGAATATTAAACTTGTTTTGGCGAATTTAGATGATAAATACAACTATGAAGCTTGTAACGGCATAATTACAAGCGGAGAACGGAGTAACTTAACATTACAGCAGGCATAACAACAGCCGGTGTTTCTCGTGAGTGTTTTCCCCGGGAAACAAACACATTACACACAAATGCAAAAATACACAAACACACACACACGTATACACACACACGCTCGCGAGCTTCCCCCAGAGCAGTAATCCAAACGAAAATATTTTCCCTCCGGACTATTTTGATCATTTGCTCCGCTAATCAATCAGATCGATGGATTCCAGAGAAGAGGAAACTTTGAAGGCCTTTTTCTCAAAATGATGACTCAGTCATTATATAATGTGACATATTTAGCTTAATATTTGGAGTACAACAACAATCCTGATATCATCAGAAAGCTAGGAATATCCTCTTTCCCAACAGTGTATACAACTCAAATTGTGTCTTCGGGTCAATTCGACTGATTTCGATAGAGCAGGTCACATATGGTCGGTGCATGTTTACATTAGCATCGCTAACACTCAGAGCTAACCTGTACTGGATAGAGCATGTGTGTGAAGAAGCAGGAAATAAAAAGGAACTCACCTTGTGGTATAACCGGAAAGAGAGAAAGCCTTTGAGCTCCATACTGTTTCAGAAATAATCCTTGATAATCCATGATATGGCGTTTCATCACGGCAGAATTTAGTTTAGACAGTAGCTGCCGGGTCCCGCATGAGCTCAGCCCCCTACTTTTTATTTTTTTATCAATTTTTAATTTTTTTAAAGCTTTAAAATCAGCACTTTTGAAACAGGAAGTGAAATAGAGGGATATGAGGCATGGCTAGAATGGGTGATCTGTTTGGTATTTTGAGCAAAACACTTCATAGACATGTTTTTTATATTTTTTTATATATCTGAGACCTATGCTATACCCTAAAAATAGCATGATAGGTCCACTTTAATGTGAATGTTATTCTAGAGCCCAAGTGTGTCTCCTTTACTCCCCAGAGCAGATACATGATTGAAAAACATGTGGGATGTAATTTGTCAGAAATAGGTTAATGGTTCTTAATATTCTTCCGCTATAGTTTGAGCTGTGCGTGTGAGGTTTAAACCTTTGTAGTTGTGGGATCAGAGATCATGTGTGATTTTATGTGTGTGAGTGGAATGTGGAATTCCTACATTTGTATTGGTGTGTGTGTCAGGGAACAGCTAATACCATGAAAGATGGTGTGAGATCAGAACGGTTCAGACGAGGTGCTTAAAGGATCTAGTGGTGCTGACTGGTTTAAGATCGGACTTCACACATTTTAAAATCCCCTCACTTACCCTGGTTACCCTCAATTAGGCGCCCATATTGTGTGTGTGTGTGTGTGTGTGTGTGTGTGTGTGTGTGTGTGTGTGTGTGTGTGTGTGTGTGTGTGTGTGTGTCTGTGTGTGTGTGTGTGTGTGTGTGTGTGTGTGTGTGTGTGTGTGGCAGACTAATTCTACCAGCTGAAAAAGTCTCTATGCTTCTCTGTGTGAATGAATGAAATAATTAATAGATGAAAGAGTAAATTAAAGAGTCACAGCCTGTCAGTCTGCCCAAACAACTTGTTCTCTCTGGTGTGTCTTCTTCTGTCCGGCTGATTTTCTCCCTCTCTTTCTGAGTGACCTCTGTCTCTGCTCTCCTTGCCAGGCGGAGCACCAGACTCTCTCCTACAGCCAGACAGAGTGTGGGAAAGGGAAATGCCCCTATGATCCGTTCCAGAAAACAGCCTCTGCTGTCGTGGGTAAGCTGACCGTTTTTCTCCTCAAACAGCAACACAAATAAAGTATGAATGATAAGTTATCATAGGAACAGATATGACTTGTCTGTGAATTTTCAGGTTGGTGTGGAAGACCAGTTTTCCCCTGAGCATGAGACAAAGTTATAGGCTTGTTGTTGCAGGCACTATAAAACACCTATTAGTACACTGACTTTGTTAATCATACAACCAATTTGATTGGATGTTTTTTTTCTTCTTTTTGACGCCATCTTAACATAATATCTGCAATTAAATCTGAGGGAGCAAAGAGGAATAAAACATACCTACACCCTGACTACTCTACAGGAGGCGCAGCCTGAGCAGCAGCTTTAGTGCTCTGTCTGTTTCTACACAGGATGCATTCAGGCACAGTATTGAGTGTTGACTGCATGCAACACAGACATGGGAGAAATGTGTAAATCCCTGACAGCATAGAGTTAAATAGCAACTGTCAATCACCCCAGATGGGACTTGAACCCACAATCCCTGGCTTAGGAGGCCAGTGCCTTATCCATTAGGCCACTGGGGCTTTGCACACCTTAATTTGACCCATTCAGTAAAAAGACTTCCACTACAAATGAACAAATGTGATCGCACAAACATATGCTTTAGTCCACAATGGCCCCTGAGGTTACCTGAGGCCACTGAGGTGGACGACGGCACAACAATGAAGAGACAGCATAGTGATGTCTTTTCAAAGTTAGCATGGGCTGGAGAGTACACATTTGAACAAAAAAGCTTGTGCTACAAACTGGTTGCATTGTGTTTGAAAGACATGGACGTTTTCCAGTCAGGGTGGATCTAACAAAAAGATGCTGTGTGGTCAGACATTTGACTCCACTTTGTGTCTTTGTATTGGCACAGTCTACAGATACAGTCTGTGGAAAATATACTCTCAGGTTTCAGACCAAATGTTTTATGAGCTTGACCTATTTAAGGTCAACTAAGATGCTCGTAACTCTTCCAACTTTATGAAAGTGCAATACAAACTTTATACCTCTTCATGTGATTTAAATGTCTTGTCTATTTCCAAATAAGTGCTGGTTAATCACCCCAGATGGGACTCGAACTCAAAAGGACATTAAACTGGGAGCAAACAAAAAAGCAAATCAATGAAAACATGGTAACATAGCACAGAAGCAGTAATGTACTGAAACTACAGTGGTATAGTGCTCAGCAGTCTTCTTTTGCTGCACACCGTTTCTTGACATCTACAGACTGTACCGACATACAATTATTCTCGGACACTATTGTCTGTTTGGTGCTGGCATTAAAAAAAACTGCACTGGGGCTCTCACAAAAAGAGGAGAATATTTTTGGAATAAACTTCACCTTCAAACGTCATTAAACATTATCCATTCTGTGTGACCTTAATAAACTGTTGTTAATGTGTGTAGACGGAGAGCTGTATGCTGGGATCACCTCGGACTTCATGAGCCGGGACTCCGCCTTCTTCCGTAGTCTCGGCAACCGTCACGTCATCCGCACCGAGCAGTATGACTCCACCTGGCTGCAGGGTAAGGGCAAAGAGAACCAAAAGAAAAGTTAAAAAAGTCCCTACATTTACTGATCTGTAACATAAGGTGGCCACATGACACAAGAAGATTCAAAGTTTTTGTAAGAAGATGATTAGAAGGCAAGAGGCACACTTGCTGGTCTCTTTTACAAAGAAAAAAGCAAACACTTATCACCTCTCTCTTGATGTATTTAGAAAGTACTGCCATTAAAACACCTTCTTTGTGACTGAAGCATCACAAGCATCGACTCTTTTTAGGTCGATCAATTCACAGAAGATAAGTGTGCAGGAATGGATTTATTTTTCTTTGAAACACAGTTTTTGAATTGCAAGACTCCTGGGATGGCTGGTCCTTTTATAATTCAGCAACTATTGTAACTTCACTTAAATCGTTTTTTCATCTTGAGAGCACCAAAAAGTTGAGTCATTTTGTAAGCATGCTACCCAGGATTAGTCTTGATTGCCTTCTTTGCACTGTGTTAGTTAAGTTGTGTTATAACTAAAACATGTGGCACACTGCTAACAGCTTACAGACCAACATTTTAATTTCTACTGCTCTTTTGCAGGTAAAAAAATAATAATCAGTAGATTTTAAACATCTACTCCTAGATACTTATCTGTGCCTTTTCTGCATCTTTACTCATGTGAGGTTTTCTCTTTGGTGTCAATAGATTGATATTCATTTAACAACCGTCTTTCTCTTTACATTTAGCTTTGTAAACCAAATGTATATTGCTCTAAATCCACATCTCTAAAACCATCTCATGCACGCCCTGTTGAGGTTTTTTCAGGCCAGTCTGTCGACGGGTGCAGCTGATAACAACAAGACACATGTTGACTCTCTGCTGTTTGTAAACTCAGCTCTGCCTGTCTCTCCCCAGATGCCCAGTTTGTGCGGGTAGCGCCGTTGTCTGAAACTGATAACCCAGAAGATGATAAGGTCTACGTGTTCTTCACCGAGCGCGCTCAGGAGGCAGAAGGGGCTGCTGGGAAGGTGCTCTACTCCAGAGTGGCACGTGTGTGCAAGGTATGGACTGTGTGTGTGGGAGAAAGATAGGCACCAGGTTTGTGTTTGTGTGCTCATATCAGAAACTGTCTGCGTGTAGTTTACGTAAACACGTGTTTGTCCGAACAGGCAGAGTAGCTACGTGCTGCTCAGAGAGTGTTTACGTTAAGAGCAGCTCTGTGTGATTGGATGCTCCTGCCAGCTTGTATAGATGTGCCTTTTGATGTCTGTGTATATGGGACTGTTTATGTTTGCTGTGTCTTCTGCTGCACTGTGATGCACTTAGTGTTTGTACTAATGCCTTTCTATGTGGATATGTGTAAACATACATGGCTGTGTTTGTATGATTTATTTTTGCCTTGTTATGTATGCACATTTTTGTGTTCATGTTAAAAAAAAATTATTAAGTAAACACATTTTGCATCAAATAGTAAATGTCTTATTCAACAACACAATAATCTGCAACAAAAAAAATTATGGTTTTAGGTTTCTTGTGAGGTTTGCCGCTTTTATCAGTATTACATATATATACTTGTTTAGTAAATTGAATATAATTAAGTTTTGTGCTGTTGGTTAACCAAAACAACTAATGTTTTTTTATTTTTATTTTATTTTAGCAGGATAGGTCTCATTGAGATCTTTTCCAAGAGAGTCCTGGCCCAAGATAGTAGAAATAGATAGAATCTGAAAACATAATGTAATGTTTTTACATTTGTATGATGTTTTACAGACCAGACAACTAATTAAATAACCAGGAAATAATCACATTCTTCCATAAAAAAGCTTTTGTATTTGGTGTTAGCAAAGTAAGTGTTTTGTGTAAAACTGTAAATTAAAGTTATATTAGGTCATAACTACAGACAAATAAATGTTAGTATGTTGTTAGCTTGTATTCTTTACTCTTTCTTTAAATCCCCTTTAGCTTCAACAAGCAACTAGTCATCCTGAGGTTCATATTTCATATCCTTAGAAAATAAGGTGAAATCAGTGACATCTATGTTATATACAAGAGAGAACGATTAGTAATGATTGACCCAAAGCAGATATAAAATACACATGTTTTAATCAGACTACTCTTTGTATGTGTGTGTAGAATGACATCGGAGGCCAGAGGAGTTTGGTCAACAAGTGGAGTACCTTCCAGAAGGCCCGCATGGTGTGTTCGGTCCCGGGACCAGACGGCCTGCAGACACACTTCGACCAGCTGCGTGAGTACACACCAGCATCCAATGAGAAGCCCATTACATGCACAGTAAAACTAATCACATCAGACAGGCCTCAACAGCCACCAGTCACACTAACAGCTGGATCTCTACCACTGAACGCTTCATAAAAGAGGAATTAAGTTCAAAAACCACCCGGTATGTGTGTTTGTGTTTATGAGCGTGATGCACAAAGAGACGGAACTTCTCACTAACATTCTGAAATGACGAAGGAGAGTTTGCATGGCATGAGTCTGCTTGGCTCCACAGTTACCACGGTGATCAACAGCCCTGTCGGTCACCTTAGGTCCGTCTTCGTGCCTCAGCCTTGGTAACCAAGGAAACTGGCCTCAACATTCAGTTGCTGTGGGTTTATTCATTATCGAAGATTCGCGCCAGTGTCCTCCGGTTGTCCGTGCGTGTGTGTGTCCTTGCGTGTGTGTCTGTGTCTAGGAAGCATGGGTTTTTCATGTGTATTTTGAGCAAATTGGGATGTAAGCCTGTCTTTGCTCTCTGTCTGAACTTGTAGGTGAAGATGTACAAGTTTGTGATTTTCAGTGGTGGTGAACACAGTACTATCAAAGTGTGAACGGTTATCTCCTGCCTTTAAAGTAGAGTAGCATTTCAAAGGGCCTGCACACCCACACAGGAGTCTGCAGTTGTTTAATACTGGCTATTAAATTGTGTTTTACAAAACCCCCCGAATTGATAAATATGAATCTGTTTTGTTAGTTATTCACTATGGTTTGATATAGCCGGCTCAGATAGAGTTACACACTAGATCCCTGCAGGTCAGGAGTGTTAGTTTGTTGCCACATTTTACTGCAGAAATCTTTAATGCACTGCCAAGTTAAATCTGCTCGGTATCACTTCATGGCACAATACATGAAGACTGCAAAGAAGCTGCCAGATTGCCCCACAACTCTGCAGATTGGAGTCTTGATCTTTATGATTTTCATCAAGATGGCCCCACAGCTGGTTACCCCATAGTGTTGATTTATGCATGTCTGTGCATCTGATCCAAACAGACATTGTGATTAGAAGAGCAGGTTGTAAAATAGGGAAGAAGATTCTTTTCTGATTGCAATATTTCTCTCTCTGTCTCAAGGAGGAAGAGTTTCTACTCAAATCTAAGAATAATTGTTCTGTTTGTACTACAAGACTACCATAACAGAATTGTGTTCATTATGATTTGTAGGATCAATTTTTTTAAAGAGCGTATACTGATTAATGGAATTCTTGGACCACTCTACCCTACTGTCAATCACCCCAGATGGGACTCGAACCCACAATCCCTGGCTTAGGAGGCCAGTGCCTTATCCATTAGGCCACTGGGGCGTATCTGTTAGTGTCAAACAGACAAGTTAGACAATGCACAGAGGGACATTCACAGTAGGGAGCAAACGTGGCAAAGCAAAGCTCTTCAAAAATAGGAACATGAGACAAAGGAGTGTTGTCGTAAAGCAACAATGCCATAGTGCTCAGCAGTCTTTGTCTGCCGCACACCCTGTTTTGCTGACTTGTAATGTCTGGACTGATGATTTGTCATGGTAAATAACATGCTCTACTTCCCTGAGAAGAGAGAGGGGGGGCGTGGACGCTCATGTGGATGGGCGAGACGGTTGACTCATATAAACCTGTCCAAAGTGGGTGGGCAGCGGAAGGTCCACGTTGTGTATGTCTGGTGTTTGAAATGTGTCGTCACTGCGCCGCCGTTTTTAGAAACTAACCTTACTTTTTTATCTGACTTGTAATTATCATTTTGCAGACATTACAATCAGCACTGTTGTCTGGAGCGTTTCTTCTTCTCTGCCATGACTCTTCCTGCTTGTTGCGTTTTTCCCTGGCTAAGGAGGCCAGTGTAAGAGAGACAACCGAGAAAATGATTTATTTAGGTATAAAACAGGGCCATAATTTCACTTTGATTTTGAAAGAGGATGATTTTAATACAAATCACTTCTGCTGCACCTCTCTGCTGTCAGCCCCACATGGCTCACCTTTTGCTCGGTGAGAGAGCTGGCAGACAGAGAGCATGGACAGAGAGCGGGAGCGCTGTGGAGACAGGACCGGTTTCTTATCTTTGCTGTTTTTGTAAACAGAAGATTCTTAGAATAAACGACATAACACACACACAGAATGACTGTTTATGTGAACATATACAGTACAATAATAACACATTCTGTAAATCACACACTCTTTCTTTTACATAGTCAAACCTCTATGTAGAAACACATTTGAACGCATTCGCACAGTTTTCGCGCTGTTACACACATACTTGCGCCTCCGCGTGTGTACACAAGACAGTTCTGACTTGTCAGGAGCATAAACATCTCTGCCCTGCATGCCTGTGGCCATGTTTTACTCATCTGATAAGGGTGCGCACAGATTTGTTTGTGATTACACTCCAGCAAGACACACACAAAACCACAAACCCATATACAGGAGATTAACCCATCACGTTAAGAATGCGGTCAGTGTTGTGTTTTTGCCACGCTCCACCACACAGAAACACTACAAATCCCATAAACCCCTGACAGTGTGCGGGTCCCTCATAGCAGCAGAGCGGTGGTTACCACCTGGTGAGAGTGTGTGTGAAAGTTATTACAATTTGCTGAACATTTTGAGTGTGCTATGTTATTATAATAAAATATATTTTGAATGTATGTTTATGTAATTGCTACGTTTTAGTGAAACAAATGTGAGTGGGTTTTCTGCGCTTTTTTCTGCGTGTGTATTTGTGTAAAACACAAACCAGGTACGAAAAAACAGCCATATTTAGTTTCAGCTCCTGTCAGCTCTGATACTGTTTTTACAGGTGAAAGTATTCAACACCATGTGGGTCAAATCCATCACAAACGTTTTATTTATTTTGTTCTGTTCAATCAATCAATCAATCAATCAATCAATCAATGTTTATTTATATAGCCCAATATCACAAATGTTACATTTGTCTCAGTGGACTTCAGAGTTTGCACAGAATATCAGTATGACAATACGACACCCTCTGTCCTTAGACCCTCACATCGTACAAGGAAAAACTTCCAGAGAAAAACCCACAGTTTAAAGGGGAACATGGGAGAAACCTCAGGGAGAGCAACAGAGGAGGGATCCCTCTCGCAGGACGGACAGACGTGCAATAGATGCCGTGTGTAAATTGAAAAGATAATACATTTACAACATAGGTAGACCAAATGTTTGGAAATGCATGTGTCTATAATAAGAAGATGAATCCACGAGGATATCCATCCAGGACTTATGATCCAGGACCACAGCAACAGGCACAGCCACGACTCAAGATCCAGGGCTCGCGATCCAGGACTCAGGACCACAGCAACACGATCAACCACGACTCAGGATCCCGGTGTAGATAGACACCAAAAAGAAATTTGGGGGAAGCTGGGTTATTCGGAACATGAGAGTACACAGGTACAGACAGAGAGAAGGAAGAAGTAAGGTGTCCCCCAACAAACTAAGCCTATAGCAGCAAAACTAGGGGCTGAATCTAATCAGCCCTAACTATAAGCTTTATCAAAAAGGAAGGTCTTAAGCGCACTCTTAAAAACGGATATGTTCACATATTGGATGGCACAGTTGCTTCTCACCAGCAAAATACATTTTGTCTCTTCAAATACTCTGGCCAGCAAGAGTCCTTCTTGATCGATAAGCATAAAATGTTGGTACACAGGACGAGGTGGCCGAGTGGTTAAGGCGATGGACTGCTAATCCATTGTGCTCTGCACGCGTGGGTTCGAATCCCATCCTCGTCGGAGTGTTTTTGGAGTGGCAGAGGCTCAGTCTGTAGGGACCTGGTTCTCTCCCCGAACAGACCATAGTAGGCAGTATGAACTGATAGTTGGAAAGTTCCAAGTATATCTGGGCACTGCCGTGGTTCCCTTAAGCATGGCTCCTAGAACTATGGGTTAAATACAGAGGTCACATTTCACTGTGTGTGCTGTGCTGTGTTCATGTACATGTACACGTTTCTGTACTATGGAGAAGAAGCCCAACAAATAGTTGTTGTTATTATTATTATTATTATTATTATTGTATGTCTTTATTGAACAAAGAACATGCATACAAATACATTCATCTCAAAAAGAGAAGAGATGTTATATGCCAGATTATAACTATACAAATAAATAAATCAATGTACTTGTCACATGTAATCATACAAGATGCAACTCCTTCAGCTATTCATCAACATCAGAATCAGAATACCTTTCTTTGTCCCACAGAGGGGAAATATAAGCGGTCTCTGTATTTGACCCATCCTAGTGTTAGGAGCAGTGGGCTGCCATTATGTACAGCACCCGGGGAGCAGTGTAGGAAACTGTGCCTTGCTCAGGGACACCTCGGTAGCACTTTCCGGTGGCTTTCCAGGAGTTGAACTTGTGACCTTCCAGTTCCCAAGCCAAGTCCCTATGGACTTTGCCACCATGAAGCAGAATAGAGCCACTAGATCAGCACAACATATATTTCCTTTAGTGTTATTTTGGTAGTTGTTGACTCACATATTTAAGATGTTGAACTCCTTCACATTTGGCTTTCTTCTGAAACGAGCATCTGGTGAGTGATGGCCACATGGACTGACTCATGACACAGGACAGCCTGAAGTTGATTGTTCAGTTGTTTTGTGTCTGAGGTTCACTTTCATGAGGCTCACCGCACATGTTTACGATGTCACTTATTGTGTGAAATTATACGTCCAGCGTCATTGAGCCACAATTGTTCAAATAAACCTCCAGTCGTGTGTTTCATATTTTCTCTGTCATGGAGGACAGACGTTCCTCCTGTTGCCCACTCAATCTGAAATAACTCACGAGTCCAGCTCAGAGGAAGAGGATTCTGGGCTGTTTACTGCTGTTGTCCCTGTTGTGGTAGTAGTTGTTGTGAAGGACAGTCATGCTATGAGGTTTTTCTGTCTGGAGACAGACAGCTCTCTGTGGCCGGACTCAGCGTAATGGCATTTAGAGACACTGAGGTATTTTTTGGGCATTTTTATAGTC